GCAAGGAATCCACAGAATGGGAAGGCGGCGATTTGACCGAGGTTGTAGATGATGAAGATGATGCCGGTGCTGGATCCCTCACCAGTCAGCCCGAAGGTGTTCTGGTAGGCTTTCATCGCGTTGATGGATCCCATGAGGGAGCTGTCGAAACCGTTGAGCGTAGAGACTAGGTAGCCAACGCCCATGATCATGTACAGCTGGATCATGCCTCGAGACCAGAGCTTCGGCTTCTCTGCCTCGATAGCAGCGGCTGTATGCTGTCAGCGCATTCTTCCCGTTATCCCAGATGTAACCTTGACTTACTGAGAGCTACCGAAGCGACATTGGCCTCCTTGACGTTCGCATGCTTGTTCATGTCATCGTCAACTGCACTCAGCTGGTGCGTCACAGCGCCCATGTCTTCATTCTTCTCCCCCATCTTGAATGTGTCGCTGGCAAGGACTGGAGAAGATCTGGAGGTGTGGAGCAGAAAAACGGGAAAGCTCTCCACTTGATGGCCGATTTGCAACGATGCGCAAGCTTTCCGGAATACTGGGTCTCTTTATAGTATACAGGCTTCTCCGCAAAACAAGTAGCGCCTGCAGGTAATCCTACCCCATGGCACCGAGGCAATATGCTCTACCTTCCTGACCCGATGCATGGTTTCTGCTCTGCATGCAAACTGTTGCGCTCAGGCGCCACCCGGTTGGCCAAGTATGCTTGTTGTACGGCAATAGCACCGCATTAGGGGCGGAATATTAGCGGGATTACTGGGAAATTTTCAACTTCCAAGCTCGCTATACCACGATGGTACCAGGGCCAAGTAATAGGGCCTTCTGCAGGGGCGGGCCCAGGTCCAGAAGCAGGCCGGTTAGCGGACGGACCTCCCAAATTGTACCAGCTCTGGAGCGCCACGCGCGAAGTCTTTACGAAGGAGATGAATCAAGAATTGAGCCGGTCGGTTTGGCATTGAGTCGCGAAGAACCAGGCGAGGGTTAATGTGGTGTAGCTGGGCTGGGCAGCGGAGTGCGGGGATGGATTCCTGGAGTAAAGCCAGCCGAGTTGGGCAGCCGCGCCGTTGATCACACCCCTTGGAAAGGCAAACCAGACACCTACCTCTGCGAATACAATCGTAAGAAATTTACTGCTCCTGCAGTGTCTCTATGTGTTATAGAAACGCGTTTTAAAATCATTACATGCTGCAAGGCGCCTGTTCAAAGTTTTCCAAGGTTCCCTCCAACGGAGTCGGAGTGATCAAGCGAAGAACCCCCGCTCGCGCTTGCGCCCGGACGTCGCCCCATCAACCCCCCGATGCGAGCCCTCCCCAGCTCCTACATGCAACATGCGCCGTTTATTGCCGACACGTTCCTTAGTCCTGCCACCTGAGAAGCAGATGGAACGTCCTCTTGGCGTCTACGACATGTGGGCGGACGGCTTCCCTGATCAGTCCAAGTCGCGCGGGCGACCGCAGTACAGCCGCCTTACTGTGGGGTGTCGACAACTGTATCAAACATAGAGGGCGTAGAGCAGTGGTTCGTGGAAGTACCATCAACTTTCAATTCATCCATCATGTCTTCAGGTCAACACCCAGCAAGCGTTCCAGACTGGAACAACCTCGATGTCCTCCACAAGAACACGCTGCCTGCGCGCGCATACTTTCACAACTACGCCTCTGAGGCTGATGCGCTTAGTTCCGATCTGAGCAAGTCTACAACCCACAGTCTCTCCGGCACGTGGAAGTTTCAGCATTCATACTCGCCTTTTGAGGCCCCGGAAGGTTTTGAGTCAACTACATTCGACACATCATCATGGAGCGACATTGCCGTGCCAGGCATGTGGCAGCTGCAGGGCTTCGGAAAAGGCCCGCAATATACCAACGTAATTTATCACATTCCAGTTGATCCACCCAACGTGCCTTTTACCGAGAACGAGACTGGATCCTACGTTCGTAAGTTCAAGGTCCCGAAAGATCTCCAGGACGGTCAGCTTCGACTCCGTTTTGAAGGCGTTGACGCCGCTTTCCATGTCTGGGTGAATGGTAAAGAGGTTGGCTATTCTCAGGGTAGCAGAAACCCTGATGAGTTTGATATTACTTCGTTCGTCGATCTCAATGCCGAGAACACCCTGGCTGTTAGGGTGTACCAGCATTGCGACGGAACGTACATCGAAGACCAAGACCAGTGGTGGCTGAGTGGCATGTGAGTATGGTCCGTCGTCGAGATGAACTGAAACTCATCATCACAGATTTCGTGACGTCTTCCTGGTTGGCTTCCCCAAAGCTTCCCGCATCGAGAACGTCTTTGCCCAGACGCTTCTGGATTCATCCTACACTGATGCCGAACTCAAAGTCAAAATCAGTGCAACTGGCTCTGGCAAGGTTGCAGTGAAGCTGCTGGACGCAAAGAAACAAGAAGTTGCCTCGTCCGCGGCGGACATTAAGGGGGATGGCGGAACCGAACTCAGCATCCAGGTCAAGGACCCACTCAAGTGGACTGCTGAGTCGCCAAACCTCTACCATCTTGTGGTCTCTTCCGGCGACCAAGTTATTGCCCAACGCATTGGCTTTAGACAAGTCGAGATGAAAGATGGCCTGATCAAAGTCAATGGTAAGAGGGTCGTTTTCCGCGGAGTCAACCGCCATGAACATCATCCCACTCTTGGTCGTGCTGTGCCGTATGAGTTCATGAAAGAGGACCTTCTTCTCATGAAGCGTCACAACATCAACGCCATCCGCACATCCCATCAGCTCAACGACCCACGACTGTACGACCTCGCAGACGAGATGGGTTTCTGGGTCATCGATGAAGCAGACGTGGAATGCCACGGCTTTGAGAGTATCGCCGATGCCGCCCTATCTAAGGAGGAGCGCAATCTACCGTTCCGTGAGCGTCAGCTTATCACTAGGGACAAGGCCGCGGAATGGACGACCGACAACCCAGACTGGACGAAGGCGTACGTGGACCGTGCGGAAGCACTCGTTAAGAGAGATCAGATGCATCCATCGATCATCATTTGGTCTCTTGGCAACGAGGGCTTCATGGGACGAAACTTCGTGGCCATGTACGAGCACATCAAGAAGTACGACGACAGCCGGCCTATTCACTACGAAGCGGACATTTACGCAGACACCATGGATATGTACTCCAGGATGTATCCCCCGCTCGACGAGATCATCAAGTTTGGTCAAGATAAGGAAAAGAAGAAGCCACTGGTGCTTTGTGAATACGTAAGTTACGCCATGTTGATTCTTAGTCCTATGACTCACCGTATTAGATCCACGCCATGGGCAACGGCCCCGGTAACATCAAAGAGTACATCGATGCCTTCTACAAGTACCCAACTTTACAGGGAGGTTTTGCTTGGGAATGGGCGAATCACGGTCTTCTCACCAAGGACAAGCAGACCGGCGAAGAATTCTACGCTTATGGTGGTGATTTCGGCGAAGAGGTTCACGACTCGACCTTCGTCATGGACGGCCTTGTCAACTCCGACCATTCGCCCAACGCTGGTTTGATCGAGTACAAGAAGGCTATCGAGCCTGTACAGCTTCTAGAAGTGAATGGTTCAAAGGCCACGTTCATCAACCGTTACGACTTCATTACGCTCGATCACCTGGTCTGCAAATACACATCAGTCTCGTCTTCATCCTCTGATGGGGTTACTGGAGATCTGGAAATTCCTTCTGGTATCTCGCCTGGCCAAACCTTCGAGGTGCAACTTCCCACGATCGAAGCTCGCGAGGAGGAGGTCTTGGTTAGCATCTCGTTCCAGTTGAAGGAGGCTACACCATACTTGAAGGCAGGCTTCGAGATCGCAACAGCGCAGGTGCCTGTTACTCCGGTGTCGTCCTTGAGGAAGCCTCAATCATCAGGCAAGCAAGTCACCGTCGAGACAACATCCCGCAACACTCTCAAGATTACAACGGAACAAGCCACCTGGGAGTTCAACACCCTCCATGGCAGTCTCACCTCCTGGAAGCAAGGCTCGACCGAACTTATCTCCAAAGCGCCTGAAATGGACATCTTCCGCGCTCCTACCGACAACGACATCCCGCAAGACGGCTGGGACTGGAAGGACAAGCAACTCCACCACGCAAAGCCATTGACTCGCAAAGTCGAGTGGTCACAATCAGGCTCAGACACTTTCAAGGTCACCGTGCACCAACGCGTCGCACCTCCCGTCCTTTCATGGTCCATCGACTGCGTTCTCACATACACATTCAGCGCCAACGGCACCCTATCCGTCCACGTCACCGGCACACCCAAGGGCGAGAACCTACCCCGCACCCTCCCCCGCATCGGCCTCGTCCTGGAACTCCCTGCACAATTCCAACACGTCGAATGGTTCGGCCGCGGCTTCGGCGAGACCTACCGCGACAGCAAGCTCTCCCAGCCCGTAGGCAAGTACACAGCCTCCAGCATCGACGCCCTCTGGGTCGACTACGAAGTACCCCAAGAATCCGCGAACCGCACAGATACCCGTTATGTCAGCGTCACTAACGGCAGCGGCGCTGGATTGCTCGCTCAGTTCGCGGATAAGAAGAGTGAGCAGAGGAAGTTGTTTGATTTCCAGGTTAGCCATTATAGGATGAAGGATGTTGCGGCTGCGGACCATCCGCATGAGTTGAGGAGGAAGAAGAGGGAGGAGGTTGTGCTGAGGTTGGATGCGGAACATCATGGACTGGGTAGTGGGAGTTGTGGGCCGAGGACGCTGGATGAGTATAGTTTGCTGTGCGAGCCTTTTGAGTTTGAGCTGTTGTTGCAGGCACCTTAGATAGGTATCGTGGGTATACAGTGAACAATATGACAGTTCACTTACCAGATTGTATGTCGGGTTTCCGATGTCGCACGTTGATGGTGGTGGGTCGCGGTAACCTTGCGGACGTCCTTCCACGTGCGCTACTGCTCTTTCCCTCGCCTTCACCTATCGCGACTGCCATATCTTCCACCTCACCCCACCAACTGTCGCCCACTTCCCAATTCACATACCACTTGCCTTTGGACATCTTCAAGGCCAACACCATGGCGAGTGGAACGAAGAAGCGACGAGTAAGTGTTGATGCGGCTGTACCTCACCTGCATCTGAACTAACGAGTGGCAGAAGTCGCGATCGCCAGTCCGTGATACAGCTTCGAAACGCGCACGTGTATCTAAAGCTAGCACGCCGAGTCGCTCCAACTATACCGAACGTGAATCCCAATCCTCACGCGCTGGATCAACAAAGAATACATACCCAGCGCCGAGGCCAGACAGAGCGTTCTCTCTACCCACCGGAGAAGATTGGGTGTTCCGTGTTAGGGTCATATCATCCGCGACCGACCTCGGCAATGATCTTTTCAAGGATGCAGTACAAGGACTCGTCCGGACCTGCTTCCCTGACGGCATCCTGGATCAGCTGGGATCACACGTCATGGAACAGCACATGCGCGAGGAGAAGGCGCCAGAAGAGAACATACGCAGGATGGCAGAGATCTTTCGTATCGAGATGATACAGCGCATGGCCTCAATGGTTGCCGAGCATCTCGTTACTGCGGCCGAAGTCGACTCGGTACTGGAAACCATGCTGACTGCGAGCGCAAGAGCTCAAGGGGATAACATTGGAGAGGACATCTTGGGTCACATCACTGCAAACCTTCTACGATTGAAAGCAAGAGCCCCGGAACACTCGACCGAATGGCTAGCCAGTGGTAAGGCGGAACGCAAAGATGACAGCAGCGATGGAGATGTGAGCGTTGGCGATGTCTCTGAAGAGGAGCCTAAATTCTTCGCAAGGACCAAGAAACGCATACAACGCAATAAGAAGGAACAACGCGTGCGTTCGACGACTCCAGATAATATCGCGGACGACGTTGAACTGGATGTCGATCTACCCGCGGCTTCGAATAAACACAGAAGCCGGAAGACTAAAGACAAGAAAATCTCTTCCAATTGGAAATGGAACATCGAAGCGAAAGAGCTTGCAGATGAAGACGTGGCTGAAGCTTTTCCACGCACGAGCGACTTGTTTGCTTATCATGCGCTGCCTATTACCAGACGAAAACTTGGATCGCACGTATCACTGAAAGAGACACGATGTGAGATGCAGACATTGCTTGATGATATGCCCCAGGACGAGTTTGAGAAGTGGGTTGAGAGCTTACAGAAGCTTTACAACGGCGATCGCGAAATGCTAGTACGACAAGACGTTGCTAGTTCAAGTGTTGACCGGCAGATCACTCGCGTCACTCCAGCGCCAGTCGAATTCCGCAAGAAGGCTGGGAAGAGCACGAAAACATCATCAGGTAGTTCGGATCGATCGAAGGGACGCGCGACTAATGCCGAGATTGCTGTTGAGGAGACAGTCGTCAAATTGGAGACAGCAGTAGGACTGAGTGGAAGGACAGACGATGTATCAGGTACTCGTGTTGCGGAAACAACAGCTGCCTTCCGCCAATTGTCAACAGAAGCACGAGACACTAGTCGACCACTGTCCAGCGTAGAAGCAGCAGGTGGGCAAACCCACTCGGACCCTCAGAGTAATGGCACTTTCGACAGTGTGAGTAGTCTCAGTGTCAGCAAAACATCATTGTGCTAATCTTTAATAGGCTTTCGGGATGCCAGTACTCAGTCTGCTCTGGGGATCGGACAGTCTGAATGCCACTGAATGCATGAGTGAGTCTGTCCGCATCACGCAAACAATCATGAGCAACCTGAGACATCGCATCTCCGCAGATGTAGGTTTCTACTTTCACTCATCCTGACCAAAGCTAAAACGCTGTAGCGCATTGTCGTGAGCGGCTTAGGTGGCGCGAACAAGACTCGCACAACGTCTGAGCTTCATAACACTATCGCCAGTGCTTTCCCAAAACCTGGCTCTAAGTATAGCTTCATGAGGATCAAGAAGGATATTGAGGCGGCTCTGGTCCCATGGGTCATCGCGGAGCCGAGCGCTTTCCCCGAATTGAAGGCCATGCCTTTCGTCTTCGCCCACATCGTTCCAGTACGTTCACCTACAAATTGGCCTTTCTCCAGAGACTAACACATTCATCTAGTCGGTGCCAGCTGTCCTCAACCTTCTCTTCGGCTCCTGGCCCGTTGTATCCGCGTTGAGTGGATCTGAGATGTGGAACGTCATCTTACGAACTCTCCAGCGACGCGGTATCTCCGAGGTACAACCTCCTACCTGCTTTAGTACACTGAACGAAACTGATGAGCAAACAGGCATCTGTAGGAGCTGCCAACATCGACTGCTTGCAGATCGACAGTCTTTGCGATAAAGTCAAACACCCTGAGATGACGCGACGTGCTCTCCTTGAACGAGTCATGCGTCGCTTAGCCTTCTCGCACAGGGAGAACTTTCCGGAGCTGAAAGCTACACCTGTCGTAACGACTTGGGAGAGAAAGACAGGATTGAGGTGGTGAGGTTCGGAACGTGTGTGTTTACACAGCGTGTCTTTGTGGTGTACCCTAATGCGACGATGAATAGTATGGCTGGTGTCAAACCAGAAGTGATCGATCACGGATAGCTTTACGAACACCTTCCTGTCGGGTATCATTAGTATGCGCTGAGCATGACAAAATTTCCCATGCTGAGACTCAAGGTATCCTAGGCCGGATGGATGGTGCATATAGTTGATGGGTCACAAGCCGGTGACCATGCGCAGTTGGTTGGTTGTTTTCTAGCTTGTGAACGAGTTTTCAAAACCCATCCCATGAAACTCAGTTCGCATCCATCTTGAATAAAGTGCTGTCAAATTGAAAAAACGGCTAATCTCACGATCAGGACGTGCATGCAGTAGGCTCTGCATCCGCACGGCATCAACCACGACAAACCATCACCCTGCTAAGATAAAAAGTACAAGATCACGAACTAGAGGCTCAATGTGTTGTATTAGCCATACAAAACCAACTTCAACTTCAAATTGTACACAATAACGCGATTATACTACAAGTCTATGAATTACGCAACTAACCCAAAACCCTACCAGCAGTAGAAGCCGTACTGCGGTCCTTGGTCTCCACCTTCCTCAATCCCTTACCCGCAGTAATCTCACCAAGTAAAGCCCCACGGTTCGGTGCTCCACCTGGAGCCTTCATGCTAGGCATTGGAGGTGGCGGTGGTGCTCCACCAGCCGGAGGAGGCGGTGGGCCAGGTGGAGGCGGAGGTGCACCGTTCGAGGGCATCGGGGGAGGTGGGGGGATGCCTGTTGGAGGCGATGTCACGGCTGGGCTCTCGGCACGGGGGCTCTTGTTGTCCATGGAAGAGAGAGGGCGCGGTGGCGCCATGGTGCCGAATAGCATGGAGGCTAGCTGCTTGGCTCCACCTTGAGTAGGCGCTTCGTCGTCGTCGGACGAATCGTCATCTGAGTCAACGACGGACCAGTCGTCGTCGTCTTGCCTTCCTAACCTGCGCGCTGAGGGTGCAGCAGGCTCATTGAACGTAGGCATGGCAGCCTTGTTGGCATTCTCTTGTGTCAGACGGTGGAAGGGGTTCGTGGAAACCTCGCTCGTGTTGCTGGGTGGGGGTGGAGGTGTAGAGACAGTGCTGTTCTCCTGGTTGGACATGGCCATCTTCTTCAAGAACGGGTTCTTGGTTTCGGTGTCGCCCATGCCAGGGTGAGGACTAGTCACCGAAGACGTAGGCGGACTGGCAATGGATGATGGTGGTGTGTTGTGCGAGATCTGGGGCATTGGTGGCGCTTGAGGAGGTGCAGTGTCACGCGGCAACTCCTGGCTGGCGGTAGGGGTGGTGTCTTGAGGCGTGATGTTCTGCGGGCCATCATCATCCGACGACTCGTCATCGTCGAGCGCCTCAAGCTGCATCTGCAGTTGACGTTCGCGTTCACGAGCAGCTTCAATCTCCGCACGCTGGGCAGCCAGCCGGGACTCCTTCTCTTTGGCGTCCTTGGAAGCAGCCGCTCTGCGTTTCTTCTCTTCGGCCTTCTTGAGTTTGCCCTGCTGGACTTGCTCTTCGAGGGCGCGAAGTCTGGCTGAAGCAGACTCGCGCTCCTTGGCCAATTCGTCCTCTTGTCTGCGTTCCTCATCCCTGATGTTTGTTAGCGCAATTTCAAATGATAGATCGAGGTACACGTACTCCATGCGCTTCGTCTCGGCTTCTTGGGCCTCCTGCTGTTCGCGGATAGCCTTCTCAGCCATGTCGTTGTCTGCTTTCTTCGACTCTGCTTCCGCTTGCTGAACGTCGTGCTGCGCAATCTCGTTCTTGTTCTTGCGCGACGCTGGCGGTGGGGGCGCTGGCTTCTTACCACTGCTCTTGGATGGAGCGGGCGGTGCTGCAGATTCGTCGTTGAGACGTCTTTGACGCTCTTCCTCGCGACGCGCATCCTCCTCTTCCGCCTGGCGTAGCTTCTCTTCGCGTTCCTTCTTCTCACGGTCGGCGCGCTGTTGGGGTGTCTCACCAGCCTTTACTGGAGCTTTGATGCCCAATGCAGCCAGACGCTCGGCCATTCGCTGCTCAGCCTGCTGTTTGATGAAGGCCGCACGCTCCTCTGGAGTCTTGTATGCCGAGTACGACCCACCGGCGGGCGTAGTCGTTGATGCGCGAGGAGGAGGCTCGACACGACCAGCAGGACTCTCATAGCGTGACGACGATGGTCGGTTGTCCTCCACACGAGCAGCCGATCTAGACCTGTAGTTGTCGCGAGATGAACTGCACGGAATTAGCACGATGCCTCTTGATACTAATCAAATAGTACTTACTCGTCTTTACGGATACGCGAAGCGCGACTGCTGCGCTGTAGATCAAAGATGAAGTCCTTAACGTCATCTTCAACGCCCAGAGCCTCCTCCCATCTACGACGTTCGTGTTCGCTTGTGTTGTCGTGTCCTCCCTCCTTCAGGCTTGACTCTAGACCCCTTGTGTATTCGTTCACGCTGTCTTCGACGTCCCGGATCATGCGCTCGTTGTGCTCTCTTTCAGCTCGGATGCGCGAAGTCTCCTTCTCCAAGCGCTCAGTCGCCGCTCCAGTGTCGTCACTGGCAGGAGCAGGCCTTCCTGTCAAGGCAGCAGAGCGTGCTTGCATCATAGCCTTGGCGCGGGCTTTCAAGCGATCAGATTCAGTTACGGCACCGCCAGGTCCAGTGCCAACGATGGTGGACGCAGATCCGGGATGCGCCTTGGCGTCTCTGAGTCTGAAGAGTTCGAGCTGGGCGTCTGCGATTTCACGCTCAGTACGGCGCACGTTAGAGGCAAGTTCGGGCAGGCGATCAGTCAAGGTCTGGAGTTGGCGCTTCAGGGCACGGCGCTCCGCATCCGAGTCAGACGATCTCAGTGAAGCTTTAGGGTGAGCATCAATGTCTTCTTGCACCCTGCGAATGCGGCGATAGAGATCTTCAGCCTCTCGGCGATCTCGACGATCGAGCGCATCATCCTCGTCAGCGGCGTTCTCGTCTTGTGTGTCCATGGCATCCAACAAGATTTGCTTCTCTTTGACTGACTTCCTGAGCTGATCAAGGGACATTTCATCTGACCGTTCAGAGGATGGTGAAGCCGGCTGCGCTGGTGAAGGCGAGCGACCACCACCTCCGAGGCGATGTCTGGCGCTCGACTTGTAGCCTACGTTATCGTCATTGTTACGGAATACCGTGGCATCCTTTCGGCCGCCAGCTTGTGGGCTACCAGCACGGAACGAGTGGGACTTCAGGTAGCTGACACCAGTGCGCTGGGGCTGGAGGAAGGCACCAGAGTTCTTCCTGTCCTCGGCATCTCCACGCAGCAAGTTCTTCATTGCACCAATAGAGTCGTTGATGTTGCGCGTAGAAGGGGGGACCAACTCCGGGGGGAGACGGGCTGGAATGGGATAGCCGTTGAGCTTACGGTAGATCAAATGCATAGCAACGGCGAATTGGTCCAAGTCAAGACGACCCCTGTCAGCAGAGTCGGCAAGTGTCCATATGCGCTCCAAATCTGGCTTGGGCAATCCACTTTGTCCAAAGATCTCAAGAGCTTGCGCTCCGCTAATGTAACCCTTGGTCATGCCGTCCCAGGCCTTGAAGGTGTCATCGTACAGCTTCTTTTCTCCCTTCGTAATAGCCCAAGGAATTGTTGCGTTACCAGTCAACCCAGCAGTCGTATGGTTGCCACCCTCTCGGCCCGTCTGGGGCATCATTCGTTGCGCCAAAGCCTCAATGTTTGGTAGTCCGGTGGCAGGGGTGTTCGCTAGGCCCCACTGACCAGGCATGCCCGTGGGCTGAGCATTGAGAGGAGCCATGCCGGTCTGGTTGGGCGCAAGGCTTGAGCCGAAGCCAGTGGGCATAGGAGGCATCGGTGGACGTGGTCCGTTATAACCACCTGGAGCTTGTCCGAAGCCAGTGGGCTGTGGCTGCATGCCCGTGGGCTGCTGGCCGAAACCCGTAGGCTGTGGTTGCATGCCTGTTGGTTGCTGTCCGAAGCCAGTCGGCTGTGGGGCTAAAGAGCCCAGTAACTGGCTGTTCGAAGGCTGTGGCTGTGGCTGCTGAATCGTAGGAGGCTCGAACTTCGGAGCATTGCCTGCCGGCGTTTGGCGGTTCGACGATTCGTCCACGACTCCAAACGATATAATGTCCACCATGCTAGAGACCTCATTCTTGACTCGTTCGGGAAGGGAGTTGGGCAGATCTTTTCCGGTCAGCTTGAGATTGCACAGGTACATGGCGAGGGCGAATTCGGGGAAGAGGAGCTGGCCAGACTTGGTCGTGTCCGCAAGGGTCCTGCGTCTGTTAGAATCGGGCCACGTATGCGATTTGTGCAACATACCAGATGTGCGAAAGCGCGTCCCCAGACAGCTTGGAGCGCATCAGGAGATCCCGCGCCTGGTCGCCAGACAGCGCCTGGGAGTCTCCCACGGCCGACTTGAACAGCTGCTCGAACTTGGCCTGGTCTTGCGCCGTGATGAAGGAAAGCCTTATGCTCGGGATCTTGCTGCTCTTGGCCGGGACGGGCGGTGGCACGGAAGACGCAGAGTTGCCGCGGAATGAATCAGCCATCTGCGCCGATGTCATGCCTGTGGGCTGCGGCCGCTGAGGTTGGGCAGGCGGTTGCTGCTGCTGTTGTTGCGGCGGCGCGCCAGTCTGGAAGGGCATTTGCTGGGGAGCCTGCTGCTGCTGCTGGAACTGCTGGCTCTGCTGCCCTGGGAAGCCCGTGTACTGCGGTTGCTGCGGTTGCGGCTGCTGTCCGAAGCCCTGCGGCTGGCCCGGGAAGCCAGTAAACTGTTGCTGCATTGGCTGCATTGGCCCTCCTCCGAAGCCCGTCGGCTGAGGTGCCAGTCCGCCCTGGAAGCCGCCGGGCTGCTGGAAGGGCTGCTGTTGCGGCTGCTGCCCATACTGAGGCTGCCCCGGTCGGGCACTGTTCCCACCCCCTAAGTACGAGTTGGACCCAGAGAACATGGTGGGCGAGGTGGCGCGGGTCGATTAGAAAAGGAGAGATG